AGTGGTAGTCGTCGTGATCGCCGTCGTTCACACTACCTTAGCTTCCAAAAACTTTCGCTTTGTAGAATTGAAATCTCACCACTCCAGCATAGGCTTTCAAGAGTGGCAAAGCACGACAATGTATTACCCAAATGATTTCAAGTCGTAACACACGCAAGTGCAAATCGGTAGCCTTGAATCTGCAATCACGACAAATCTTTCAATAGAGTGCTTCCAGCCTTGTGCGGCCGGACAGGTGAAGAGCTGGCAACGCTTTCGGGCAGCTCCTCGCAGGCACTGCCAGGTCACCCTCCCAGGCTATGCAAACTTTTCATTGCCCTAAACCACGTGAAATTCAGAACGGAAGAATCCTGAGGGAGTGGTCCCTGAAACCATTCTGGGTTTTTCATGAGCTCGGCGAGCTTGGCCATCACCTGCGAAATCAAAACACTATGAACTGCATACCAGCAACGCTTCTGAATCGAGGTGTGAACCTGTTCGGTGGCACAGCGCTCTTCCAGCTCGTGCACACTATACACTGCACCCACGTCTAACCTGCCAGGTTGAACATATATGTCTCCGCGCAGGCCAAGCTAGAATATGGCGGTGGCGGGCCTCAGACCATCGAACTCGACAGGCTGCAGCAGCTTGAAGCGGTCCGAATGTGTGATCTGGCCGGGAATTGAAGGCTTGTATTTTTAATAAAGTTCGGAACTTCTGACATGAAAGCGGCAACAAGCGCTCCTTTCGGGAGAAGTACGTGTCGTTCTCGTCTTCCTGCAAGTGCTCCTGCCAAGGAGAGCTCTAGCAGGTTTCGTCGCCAACATGAACGTGTGCTGAACCTCAGTCGGGACTGCGTTGTCAGCGCCAGACGATGGTGCAATGCTGGTGGGCGAGCGACTGGCGGGCGAGCCACTTCTGCCGGAGGATTCCCTCCTCTCCTGTCGCGAAATGGGTTGAGCGGGAATCGTGATTTTGCTCCTCTGGTCGTGGAACGGGTTGAGCGGGAATCGTGTTTTTGGCGTTTCTAAAAGCCGAAAAGCTTAAAAATACGATTCCCCCTCTGGTCGTGGTACGGGTTGAGCGGGAATCGTGTTTTT